TGCCTCTCGAGGTTCCCCCACCTACAACACAGCCCAACACTTAGCCAAAATCCTCAGACCCTTGGTGGGTCACACACCACACCATGTGTCCAACTCTTCCCAGTTTGTCAGCGTCACCAGAAACCTCACTGTCCAACCCACTGACTTGCTTGTCAGTTTTGACGTCGTCTCACTCTTCACCAATGTTCCCACAGGCGAGGCCTGCAAACTAGCTAAGGAAAGACTTGAACATGATACCACTTTTGCTGAATGCACATACCTGTCCCCAGACCAAATTCATGATCTGTTACTAACATGTATTTCTTCCAGTTGTTTTCAGTGGCAAGGCAAGTTCTACGAGCGAACGGCTGGGACCTCCATGGGATCTCCTTTATCCCCGGTCCTAGCCGACATCTTCATGGAGGAGTTTGAGTCTTCCTCCCTCCTCACAGCGGATCTCCGGCCGAGCCTGTGGCTACACTACGTTGATGACACCTTCGTAGTGTGGCCCCATGGCCCGGACACACTCCAAGACTTCCTCCAGTACCTCAACAAGCAACACACCAGCATCAGCTTCACCATGGAACAAGAACAGCACGGCACCATTCCTTTCCTGGACATCAAGATCTCCAGGAATCCAGATGGCACCCTGGGACATAGCGTCTACAGGAAACCAACCCACACCGACCGCTATCTCCACCAGCGGTCGTTTCATCACCCCAGCATCAAGTCATCGGTCAACCGCACCCTAGTACAGAGAGCTTTTGAGGTCTGCAACCAAGACAACCTCAAGCGAGAACTCAAGCACATCCAGGCGTCACTACAACGGAACGGCTACACACCCAACCGCATCAAGATCAGCAAACCTGACCAACGGGTCTCCTATACCCAAGGTCCTTCCACTGTATCTCCTCAGTCACTCTTCCTTACATAGGTCCAGCTTCTCATCATCTGCAACGCATCCTCCGACAAGCCGGCGTCAAGGTGTACCACTCATCTGGCAACAAGCTCCAAGGCAGCCTCCATACTCACAAGGACAAGCAGGACTCCTCTTCCAAGCCGGGAGTCTACTGCATTCCATGTGAATGCGGCAAAGTCTACATCGGCGAAACCGGTCGGAACCTTCCCACTAGGCTCAAGGAACACAGAGCACGGCGAGGGGACTTTGACAAATTGGCCATTGTCAAACATTCCCACATCAACGACCATAAATTTGATTGGGATGCGGCCGAACTCATCGCACCGATCCAGTTCTGGCATCCAAGACGCATATGGGAAGCCATCGAGATCCGCAAGCACAACACAGTTCCGCAAGACATCGGGTTTCACCTCAACGACATCTGGCTCCCACTTCTCCAGACTGATGGGTCTCCTATACCCTAGGTCCTCAGCTACCACCTTAGACTGATGGGTCTCCTATACCCTAGGTCCTCAGCTACCACCTTAGACTGATGGGTCTCCTATACCCTAGGTCCTCAGCTACCACCTTAGACTGATGGGTCTCCTATACCCTAGGTCCTCAGCTACCACCTTAGACTGATGGGTCTCCTATACCCTAGGTCCTCCCTCTACTGACACGGCAACCCTACTGTTCCACTTCAGTGGGCACCAAGCTTGCTCTAGGATCCCGTCCACTTGGCATCCTCACAGGATGTAACTCCACACTTCATTGATTTCGCCTTTTGCTACTTAAGTATTTACTTTCTTAGAGTTTAGGCACTCTCCTGAAGACGGTCAGAGCATACTGACCAGAATGTCGAGTTTAGACCTCTGGTTCTTTTCAGAACCATTCTCTGAGTTGAGAAATTATTCGTACATGGTGTGTCCGCAAACCTTTCTTTATTTGGTATCTCCACCATGCAAAGCCTCAAATCTTACTTACATGTACATGCACTTCTAAATTTTTTCCATCCAAGTGGAGTGGGAAAAATTTATTTGAGCCCATCTAATAACATGGGGTGATCTGGGCATGGTGTGTTGAAGAAGACTTGGTTTCAGAGAGCACACACTTGGTCACAGGTTCACCTCCAGTCTACAAAAGGCCAACGCATGAGCAACTACAACAGGTGGTCACCAAAGATGCGCAGGGATTTCACTGTCAAACTCCCATGGATGAGCCAACCAGAGCAGCATGACGGACCTGGTTGGCTCATCCAGTCTTTAACTTTTCGAACGAGTACATATTATAATTTTTCAAAAACACCAAAAAGGGCAGGGCCCTAATGGGAGGGCATGCGATCCCTTTCGTGTCCTGATGACTACATAGAATCCCCCTCAAACTTCAACTTTACAAGTCTCGTTTAATTGGGAGATTCTATTACCTCATCAGTCACACTTCAGTGACCACATGAGATTTTAAAGCCAAAACTATACGAGAGAGACAGAAAATAATTGTCAACCGCAACAGCATGGTTTATTAATCTGACATCAGTGCTTTCATGCGGCCTGCATAAGCATATATGAACATACATGTTACATCTCTCTCTTGTACCGAATGTTTACAAATGACCTTCGCTTAATACACTGTCAGCAAATTGACCATCGTTACATATAGGTTTGTCATAAAACCTTGCAAATGTACACTCTGAAGACCAGCCAGCTGTTCTTAAGATCTGCTCAATAGGAACAAATCGGTCTTTAGCCTTAGAGGTAGCTGCTGCCCTCACACTGGCCTGCAAAGTGGGAATGTTGTCTTTATAAATGTACTATTAACATCAATAACTCTTCATAAAATCACCTGTGAACTCTTCGCAGCTAGAGGGAGGTATTTAAATATCCATCGGTTTTATTCTCTATTGCCCTACTACAGAACCTGGGCAAAGTGGACATTTCGTTCAATTTTGATGTTATTTGCTATACATAAGGGCTGTTCAAAGTACCCATTGGTAACTTTCCCACATTGCCCAACTACAGAACCTGGGAAAAGTGGGAATTTGTTTTATTTTGATGTAAATTGCTATAGCTAAGGGGTGGTGAAATTACTATTCCTACATTGCGCTTCTACTGAATATGGGCAAGTGGGAATTGTACTCATAGCTACTTAACCCCATTTCTAAATGGCGAAAAGAAGAGCAAAATAAGAATCATCAGTCTGTGACTGACAATATTTGCAAGGCTACAAACATTTTAACGGACGAAAAGAGTAAGCAAAATAATATACATTTAGGCAAATGGCAATGCAAGGTTGTAGCTTTACAACAGAGGAAATCAAGGTACCATCATTTATCATTGGCAATATTTGCGCACTCATTGAACCTGATAAAAAATGGCCTTTTTGCATGAATTACAGTGATGATAAGGGCTCCCATTGGTGATATTCCTACTTTACGCTGCCACTGAACCTGGGCAAAGTTGAAATTTCCGTAAATGTTGATGTAATTGCTATAGCTGAGGGGAGTTGAAATTACTATTCCTACATTGTGCAATTACTGAACCTGGGCAAAATGGGAATTTTGCTACTTTGATGTACTTTTTATGGGTAAAGGGTGTGGAATTTACCCCTGGATAATATTCCCACATTGTGCCACTACCTTACCCGGGCAAAGTGGGAATTTTGGTCAATTTTGATTTAATTTGCTATTGAAAAGGGGTGCTAAAATTACCCATTAGTGATATTCCTACAATGTGATGTTACTAAACCTGAGCAAAGTGGGAATTTTTGTCAATTTATATGTGATTGCTATAGTATTGTAGCGGTACGCCATTAAGGAAGTCCGCTCAAATGATTAGATTTAAGGACGCCAAGGACAATCAAGACAAACAGACAAAATCAAATTATGCTTGATCTCATGAACTTGTTACAGATTACTTGTTTACAAAATCAATTACAATAGTTCTGGATCTGAATCTCAATCTAAACTCACAAAACAAGTGTTACAAAAAGCACATAAGATTCAACTTCCAGCTCTGTAAATTGTAACAAAGTGCCAATGATAAATTACAACCACAAAGTTTGTATTTCTCAAGTTGCCCTGGTTCCAAGTGAGGTTTGTAATATTCCAGGTCCTAATATTTTAATCAGGTTCCTAAGATTCCCCGGTTCTAATATTTTAATCAGGTTCCCCGAACGCCTGGCCAGTGTACGGCTGTTGTGAACTAGGCCTCCAAATTGCACCTGACATGAAACAGTCGTATTGTAATAAATCAACATGTGACACACGGTGATTAAAACTTTGAGATTGAGAAGACTAATTCACCCAAAATCACTCCTAGCTAGCCCAGCGGTAGCAGAGAACTTGCATTATGACATTAGAATGTGAAGATAATACAAATTTCGCTCATTTGAAACTGAAATGTTGGCTTTTAAGCATAAAATCTATGCACACGATGCTCACACTTCGGTGTGCAGGCAGAAAAGGGCTGATATTCGCGTGTTCACACACTGAGTGCAGACGTATATATGCATTTTTCTGGGCTGTGTGCCAATTGTACGGTGCCTTGTAAAAGACGTCTCTTTACAGTATCATCAAAAAGTACATCCGAATTGACCAAAATTCCCACTTTGCTCAGGTTCAATAGTAGCGCGATATGTAGGAATATTACCAGTGGGTATAATTTCAACACCCCTTATCTATAGCAATTACATCTAATTTGACACAAATTCAAACTTTGACTAGGGTCTGTAGCAGTGCAATGAAGGAATATTAACAATTTGGCTGTCTGGCACATTGTGCTTTTGTGTTAATGTTCACTGGCCAATCATTAAAGTACGTTGAAAACTTCGTACAGTTGTCAATATGTACATGTTTTTGATTTATTCCTACTTTGCCAGGCAGTATTGGAATTCCCACATTGCCCAGCCGGACAAAGTGGAATTCCAACTTTGCGCGGATTCCCACTTTGCCTGTGACACATATATTATGAACTCCCTTCCCTTACACACACGTGGAACGAGTAGCTACTGGGTATATACACAATGAATGCAGCTGATTTGTAATTGAACCGCATGCACTCCCTGATTCAATTTAATGTTGAGGTTTCAGGACTGTAAGGGTTGATATTCTTATTTTTTTTATCACCAGATGATACTGTATCAACATCAACTTGTATCTCGGCTCAATCTGGATTGACAACTGGGGGAAGGTCAAGCTGCTTTGTTGGCATCCACAATATCAAGTTGCCTCCGACAAACCTGTCAAAACAAGCACTTCAAGGAAGAGATGATTCCATAAATCAACCAGTGATGTACTATGAAGAGTCTCCTGTGACAAGAAATGACATTGAAGTGAGCCATAGGCAGGATGGAAATAACACTTACCCATTACTAACTGAAGGTAGTTTGTCCTTTGAGCAAGCTTGTGGCCCTCCAACTCACGTTGATGTCATTAAAATTAACAAAGAAAGCAGTGTCCCTGATTTATATTGTGGTAAATCATGTAGTTCAGTTCCATCTGTGAATTCAACACCTGATGAAGTAAAATGCATTGATGAAAAAGAGAATGAATGTGAAGAGGACATTATTGGAGAACATGAGTGTGTAGCTGTGCCTCAGGTACTCATATCCAAACAGTTGCATCCTGCAACTCATGAAAATACCGAGATAAAAAACAGTCAAGGTAGTGAGTGCACCTTACTACATAAAAAAAGCCCATATATGCCAGGCTCTGACAGTGTACATGACCAGCTGGTGACTGCACATAGCAGTCTACATTTTGGGGCTGAAGGTGTTCCAAAGGTCGAATGCCCTGTTTGTTTGCAGAATTTCCCCACAGACACTTCGGAAGAAACAGTAACAACTCATGTCAATTTGCATTTTGATGAACAATTAAAAAACAGTCATAGCTTTGAGATTTTAAATAACCAATCTCTCCATTGACTTATTTTTAAAAAGAGCACTGCAACCAAAGACTAATGTAGAACTTTGAAAATCTATTTAGAATCTACGTAAAATGGTGCACTGAATTCAGTTATGTGAATTTGCTTTTAAGATAATAAGAATATGTATCCAGCATTTTTAAAGTGACTATAATAATACACTGTCATTTTCTTCTCTGGGTCAATAGTTTATATTTAATATAAAGCTATTTGCCTCAATTCCTTGCCCACTTTGCAGGGATCTGTTCTGATTGATGATCAACACATGAATGCATCCAAAGAGATCGATCGGTGTAACTTGTATTTAACTTGTAACTTGTACTTGGAACTTGTGTTCCTTTTACAGTGTGGGACAATATATCCAATGACATGTGATCAATGACCCACCAATAAGATGAAGGGGATTATTCAGGGATTGAATAAATTGCTTTTATAATGCCTAACCCACAGATTCTGTCTAAGCAGATCACATTGTATTGGCTTTTGGCTGTGTCGGCAACTTGCCGAAACAGCCATTGTTTTTCTGAAGATTATTATTGGCTTTTCCGCAAAATTGCAAAATAGCCTCTTTTTTTGTTCTGATTTGAGGCTTTTCCGCAAAGTTGCTTAAAAGCCTTTGTTTTTGTTCTGATTTTTTTCTTTTCTTTTTCTTTTCTTTTTATTCCAACTCAAATCCCATAGACTTTGGATACGTTTTTCAACAATGGCATTGTGGACCTCAAACTTGTATTCCAATGAAACCTAACCGATGTAAAGACCCCATAGCAGTGTTGTAGTGGAGTACTTTTTGCCGAGTACTGCCGAGTACCTAGGTTGCGAGTACTTGTGCTTCCGAGTACAAGAACAGGTCTCCGAGTACAAGTACTTGTTTTCCGAGTACGAGTACTTGTATTTCCGAATATGGCACCAGGTACATTGTGCTTGAAGCCTAAAATTGTGTGTTCTGTTAATCACTTGTGATGCAACTTAGGGTTCGTCTTTGTAAGCTTTTTCAATTATTTGAAATTGAGTTGGTTTTTTTTTAATCGGCAACATCATTCTCAAATCAATGTAAAAATGTATTTTCCAAGGAAATCTACACAGCTGAGATACAGACGTGAAAGTTTAGGTCAACTGTTATTTAATAAAATTTTCTAGCCTACAGTGTTGTGCATTTAATTTTTATTATTATTATTATTCATGTATTTTCGGGTCCTTGGATTCCTCAGATTAAAAAAAAATACCAACAAGCATTCAAATGGCTGCGAAAAAGATTTCTTCACAGGGTGTTTCTTCCGCATATGCGTGATGAAGTTCAGAGTTGTCCCATATGTTTCTGGTATGCGAACAGCACAAAACATGCACGCTCCATTGTGGCCTTTCACGCCGTTTTGGACAAATTCCCTCTGATCCTTGAACCCAAACTTCACGGTGGACATAGACGACATGATACATGTATTTTGGGGTTCTTTGAACGAACAACATATACAATTTGGGTAAAAAAAGTGAAAAGTGCCACACAGGACCAGGCAAGGTAACTGAACGTAGATGGTACAGGTACACGTACAAAGTACATATGCAACGTGCATGCAAAAAAAAAAAACAGATTCGCGTTTTCTTGGTGTCTACGCATTTAGTCTGTTTCCCATTTCTAGGCCTCTGTTTAAGGCTAAGCCGCTGTGGACCTGCTGCCGTAACCAGACTAACAGCCATTTTTCAAACCTTGGCTTCAGTGTGTCTCTTTCTCCATTCTTCAGATTGGCACTGGGGCTGGACCCGTATTATAGGACCAAAACCAGGGTTCAGCAAACGGCTTTGCCCCAATCACCCAATTAATCGTACGACCATTTGAGGAACACCCCGCGGCGCACAGTGTGTACAATGATTGGCCACTGTACCCACATACATGTACAGCAAATGGGTCATTGTGCGTAATTTGCCCAGACCCAAAAAAGACCTTCGTACAGACCCGGTCACGGCTACCTGTTAATTGTGTTTGTCCAGACGTGCGTAGAGTAGAGAAAATTTCAATTTCTCTGCAATCGACCATTTAAACCATTGAAAGTATCAATAAAATAAGGTCGTGGTGACATAAGTGATATACCATTTTTTTTATCGAGTACCGCTATTAAAGTACGAGTAATTTGTGTTATCGAGTACTGTTATTCGAGTACGAGTACTTTGATGATCGAGTACAATTTGTACTTTGCTGCTCAAGTACGAGTACCATCGTATCGAGTACGAGTACTTTGACATTCAAGTAAGAGTACGAGCACAAGTACTCTAAAAAAAGTACTCGAGTAGTACTCGAGTACGAGTACCGAGTACGAGTACAACAACACTGCCCCATAGTGATTTTGTGTCCTGAAAATTGACATCATGATTACGTCATATGGGTCACGTGACGTCATCTTAAATGTGCAAACTTTAAGACCCTGTATCTAAGGAACTGTCCGTCTGATTGGGTTAAAACTTAATATGTAGGTAGACTGGGATGTGTTATAGGTAAAAATTGAGGTGATGTCATTATGATGTCATCATGAATCAAATTACAAGCAGTTAATAATCAACAGATTTAATATTTGAAAGACAATATAAAATCAGTCATGACAGACCTGAACTTGAATTTTTCGGAAATTGAAAGAATAATCCATGGTCTTTATTTTATTTTGTGCGTGCCAAATCACGTGACCCTTGCTTTCAGTCCAAACCGGAAGTGCCTTATAATTTGAAAGTGGAATAAAGATGTGAACTTTCTTTCAATGATGTTAGTCTCGTTTCGGTTGAACTCAGTTGAAGTTTACAAAAAAATAATACCAGTGACGTCATAAAACGTTACAGTGCCCTCTGGCAGCGGGTTCAAAACTGTCAAAAATGAATTTTCAGTTGATTATTGTGGCAAAGTTTGCGGTGATTGCTTTAAATGAATACATATGATGACCCTTGTGCAGACAACACATACCTGTGCGTGAACTCTGCTCGCTGTAACCATTTTTGCCTTTTTGGACAAATTTGTTCATATTTTTAACTTTACTCATTAAAAACAAGATTTCTTTTCACAGCAGTAATGCTGAGATTGTGCTCTTTTGAAATCTGTAATCAAATTTGTTTTGACCAGGGTCGACAAACGACTCATGTAGCTTGATCGCATCACATATAAAGCCAGGGTAATAATAGAGCACCAGGATTGTCACTTTGTGACGGACATGAGCGCTATACAGGGAGCCATTTTTGAGTGGTCAGGCACAACCCAACCACTGTCTAGAATTGTTCTCATAAATCTTCTTTGTTTGGTTCTTACTTTTTTCCGGACAATACTTCTCCGCGGGTTTTTCTCCTAAACAACTAATCTCCTAATCAACTAATCAACTAATCAACAATCAAAATCAACATCAAAAATAAAAACTAACAGTAAAAATCAACACCCAACACCAACAATCAACATCAATAATCATTAATCAACATCAGCAATAATCCGGGATGTGTTATAGATGGAAATTTAAGTGATGTCACGATGACTTCATCATGTGACATGTGACGTCATGTTAAATGTGCATATTTTGAAGGCCAATATCTACAGAACTACAGGTCAGATTGGGTTGGAGCTTGGTATGTACCTAAACTGGGATGTGTTACGCCAACAAAAAAAATAGTCGGTCTCTGGTCAGACCGAATTTCCGGAATTAATGCTTCGACGCTTTTTTTTGGGGGGGGGGTGGCTTTTTTTTCCAAGCTTTTATTGTACATACAAGGTGGGTACTGTTTTGCTTTTTTGTGTCCTCATTATACATTGGTGTCCTCCATAATTTGCCTTGGTGCCCTTTATCATTTGCATTGGTGCAATTTCCCCATTCCTTAGTGCTCCTTGGTACAAAAATTTGAGGAGGCGCAGCAATAGAGGGCGCTGTTGTAGCTTCCGTGTTAATTTGAAGAAAGAAAAAAAGGTTGACGCGCATGATTAAAATCGACGCGCGCGCTGACCAGAGACCGAGTATTTTTTTTTTTTTGCCTTATAGATGAAAATTAAAGTGACGTCAGTGATGTTATCTCTTAAAATGTGATGTTAATTAAAAGTGCATATTTTGAAGGCCAATATCTACAGAACAACATGTCTGATTGGGTTGAAAGTTGGTATGCGCCTAGACTGGGATGTGTTAATTATAAAAATTAAAGTGATGTCATGATGACATCATCACGTATCGTGTGACAGCATATTTAAAGTGCTATTTTGAAGGCCAATATCTACCGCACATGTTGTCCTATCAGTCTAACATGGCATAAACATACAAAAACAAATTACCGAAACAGCCGTATGTTTGTACACAAACATAAGTAAATCTAGTTTCTTTCTTCTTCTTGTTCCACACCCAAAACCCATAGTCTCTGTGCACGACTTTAGTGTGTGGCACTTTTGGCATTTACCTTTGTCATACATTGTTCCAAGTCAGCATAGGCATAGTCCCTATAGCATACTTATGTCCCGAAGAGTGACGTCACGATTACGTCATCATGGGTCACGTGTCATTAAAGTGCATATTTTAAAGTCCTATATCTAGAGAACTGTAAGTCCGCTTGGGTTGAAACTTGGTATGTAGGTAGACCAGGATGTGTTTTAGGTGAAAATTGAGGTGACGTCATTATGACGACTTAGTGTGATTTTATATATATTTTTGATATTTTGAGGCTTAGCACCATATCTCATGAACGCAACATGCCAAATTCAACATTCTTTTTGTATTAGGTTGATTATGTAATAGATATATGCACAGAATTTTTTTAAAATGTGTGACTCCTGATGACGTCATCAAAAATGTGATTTTTCAAAACACATTTAAGGCCCCCCCAAAAAAGTCTCCGGTTTCTGGTATGCGCGCGCGTCGCCGTAGCCATGCGCGTCAGCAAAATGAAAAAAAAAAATTTTTAATGAAAGATGATGTCCCAAAACCGCCAAACTCACTGGTTTGACTGGAATACTGCTGCTGCACAATTTTAACGTGTTTTTAGACTGGGTTATGGTCGAGAATAAGCTTTATGTGGCCTCTCTGGACTCCCATATATTTGCACTAAGTTTAGTCGGGCACCATTTGCAGTCATCAGCACACATTTGAAGCAAAAAAATCAGGTAAAAAAAAAAAAAAAGCCGCGTCGCCGCATCACTATTTGGGCAAGCTTCATACCAGAAACTGGAGACTTTTTTTTTGGCCTAAAGGGAGGTCCGATCGTCATGAAACTTGGTGGATAGGTAGATAATGATACTAGTATGCAAAATCTGAAATGACGTCATAATGAAATAATCGGCTGATTTTTTTATGAATTTTGGATTTTTAAAGATTTTTTTCTTATTACAAAATTTGACACTGGTTATGATCTGATCGACTCCAAACTTGTACAGACAACATTAACATATAAAAAAAAACGAAGTTGCATTCATGTGACATTATAATCAGATTTTTATTTCAGTTTGTATAGTTTCCAAGCCATATAGACTATGCAGCAGTGTTTCTCCGCGTTTCCCTGTGCCCCGTATATATTCGGCCTTACATGTAAGTTTCAAATGGTTGTGTGTACAATTGCGCGGGTCATTTCTGAAAGTGATGCAGTGTTTCTCCCTGGATTTTCTAAGCCCCGTAGACAGGCCATATGTAAGTTTCGAACATATACCGTACTAGCATGTTGTGTGGGTAAAAGTGATGTGACTGCTAGTGTTTTTACAAGGCTAATGAAGTTCAATTATAATTTTGCAGTTTAAAATTCACGCGAAGTGCCAAGTTTGCCGGTATGTCAAATACATACATGATCTGCCTGCGTTATTACATACATGTCGCACACAATTGGGTCGGGCCTCGGGTATGGTGGCTAAAGTTTGTGTTCAAGGCTGATGAAGTTGAATTCTAACTGCAGTTATCAATGCAGGGGAATTGGCCCAGTCAGCCGCTCAGTTGAGAGCATACAGCCAATTCCCATGCGTACAATTGGGTTGGGTCATATTTGAATTTAGGCTTATATAAAGTTCTACGAAAATTTGTCTAGCTGTTGCACAAAGTGTTTTTCTTTCAAAAATAATAACTGCAAATGTTTTTGAACTTCACACAATCATATTTACTCAGATAAGTAAGTGCTCAGATGATTAGACTCATTTCAAGGCTAAACATTTTGCATTGCATTCATTTCAGTTGATTGACGAAGCGAATTCGTTGAGGTAACAGGGAACGTCACATATTGAAACTTCAATACTAATTTAGCAAAATTTAGCAAACTT